GCGTGTGTGTATATAGAGCTCACTCCGCACATGGCAATGCAGTTAACTGTCCATGTGCTTCTATGAGCAATAAGAAATAAGGTAAATATAGCTGTGCAAGCTCGAGACGGTGTGCAATGAAACGCAGACTACCAAAATGCTTTCGCCACTCAGATAGGGAGCACTCGTACCGCTTTGTTGAGTACTCTACTCAATAAATGTGAAAGCATCGACAAAGCATATGTAAAACTCACAAATTGACACATACCTTCAGCTGGATAGCAGAAATTCGTCCAAGATAGTACATGTAGCGCGCCAGCTCGTTGTTCGAGGCGTTTTCAGGGAACGCACTCTTCGACACCAGTTTGTGCGCCTGATCGAACAGACTGTAGTGCAGATACGACCTCAACAGCAGATTAATCAGAGTCGCTTGTCCGTCCTTGTCGTGTCTGAGTGTGGCTGTGCGGAGTGCATTCAGCAGCGGCTTGCGAATCTCCGAGAACTTCCCGGCGAGCTCGAACGCTCGACCGTAGTAGTAGAAAGCGCGAGCCGATAGGGGGTCCAACGTGCGACGATTGTACTTGGCCACTCGGTCTACCATATCCGACGAGCACTCCATGGCATCGTCTACCCGTTCCGCGTCAATTAGGAAGATCGTGATCATGATCTGTAGGTAGGTTTCAACTTCGGGGGTAGAGTTTTTCTTCTTCTTCTCCGAAGTAGTCGACGCCCCGGGAGCTCCGGTGTACTTGGTTAGCACCTTCGCAAGGTCTGTATTTGTGACTGTGTTGGCGATGATCTGCGAAAGAATCTCGCCGCTGAGAGCCTTGCGCGTGGTTGGGATGGTGCGCAGTACACGAGACATGTAACGCGCTTCTTTGGAAGCGGCACCCCGATCGAGCAGAAGCAGATTCTGCTTGATATCTATAAATTTAATAAGGAAACCAGAAGGCAGTCGAATAAGCCAAATGGAAGGCAGAAATTATTGAAGAAAGAGATATGAAAGGAAATACTTGAAATACATGTATTTATATCCCGATCAAAATGCTTCGAACGGTCGCCTGTTACTGTGTGGCACATAAAGGCAGAGATAAAATACTTCCAAGACCTTGCAACAGTCACCAATTACACAAGCTACAGTAAACTATATATATATATATATATACATATACATGCACACACACACACATATATATATATATATATATATATACTTGAGTGTGTGAGAGAGTGTGCGACAATAAGTGTGAGAGAGCGTGTGAGAGAGAGCAGGTGTGCCAGTGTGCGTGTGTGTGTAAGTGTAAGTGCGAGTGAGGAAGTCCGACTGTAAGCGCTTGTGATAGTGAGTGTGAGTTATAGTGAGTGCGAGTGCGAGTGATTGTGAGCGTGAGCGTGAGCGTGAATGGGTGAGTGAGTGAGTGTATATTTTTGTGTTTACAGACACAGACACAGACACAGACACAGGCACAGGCACAGACACAGGCACAGACACAGACATATATATATATATATATATATATATATATATGTGTGTGTGTGTGTGAGTGAGTGAGTGTGTGAGTGTGCATACACGAGTGTGAGTGTCTGTGAGTGCGTATGTGAGTGCGTGTGTATCCATGTACGCATATATGTATACCTATAACATATATATATATATATATATATACATATATATAAATTTGTATGTATATATATATACATATACATATACATGTGTGTGTATATGTCGGTATGGTTACATATATATACATATACATACATAAAACACACA